GAATGCAAGCACAAAGAGCAGCTGAAACAGAAAAAGAATGCAATCAAAGACTTCAAGCACAAGCTGCAAGACAGGCTGCTCAAATACAGGAAGAGACTTTGGAACAACATAAAGTTAGACCTCGAACTCAAGCTGAAAGGCAGGCTACTCAAAGACAGCAAGAAACTGTTGAACAGCACAAAGCCAAAGTTCAGTCAGAATCATCAAGGCACACTGGATACAGACAACAAGAAACTTCTGAACAAAGTCAAACCAGACTTGAAGCACAAAAATTAAGACAAATAATTTACAGAGAGCAAGAAACAGAGGAGCAACATGATGTACGACTTCAGACTCAAAGAACAAGACAAGCTCAAACACGATCTAATTTCAAATAAAGCTTTGTTTGGTTAAATGCTTTTTTTATTTGTTGCATCACAGCTTTTATCTACTTACTGAATAATTTGCTGAAAAAAATACTGATCTATGCATTTCAAATCTAAATTTTTATCATGCAACGCTGGGTAACTCAGCTAGTATACAATAGAAACAATGTTACTTGTTTTGTGTTTATTATTTATAAAATACTTTAATGTTATGTTTTTTTGTATACATTTGAGAGAAAACTAACAAACACTTTGAGATAGCAAATTCTACTTTTATTTTGTGATGGATTTGTTTACCATCAATTTATTATTCTTTCTATCATTTAGTTAAACTATGAACTTTTAGTTATATTACAGCCAAAGCACACCAATTTTGAGTGTGTTTGCATTACAAAACTGATACATGCTTCCCCTAGCAGTGACATGTGTTGTGAAAGATTATGTAAATTATGGTAATAGCTAGTCACATTAGATGTAACCTTGTGTTCTAACCACTAAATAAAAGCCCTTCCTTGTTCTTAAATGAGCTAGTTCTCAAAATATACTTTTAGTGTGTTACAACACAAATATATTCAAAATGTATGTATGTATTATATAGGCCTTTTATATAATGTTACTCATTTCACAACAGTATATCCTGTAACAATGTAAGAAATATTTTCTCTGTAACACTAATCTTGTGATATTCTGACATAGAAATAAGCAACTATCTTATGGAATAAGTTATCTTTAGTAATCATGGCTGGTATTTTATAAAAAAATCAAAAATTAATTGATGATTTCTGGCAAAATAAAGGGCGATTTTAATTATACTTTTCTAAAACTCAAAGACAGATGTGCATAAAACAGCCACAAATGAACTAATGATTAGGCTAAAAAAGTAACAATGGTGACCAGCGTTTTGCTATTTTTTGGCAATGGAACAGCACTGAATCAGTATATGCAGTACAAGAAAAAAAAATTGTTTCTTAACTTTCAGTTTCACTTAGTTGGTCTTCAGTTTAACAAAGTATCTAAACTGTGGTATAGACCTACAGACTAAACTTCTCTATATTGCTGCATAACTTCAATGCCATACGTTAACATTAACTTGGGATCTAACTACAGGTAGAAGTGTCACCGAAGTCCAGAAGGATTTAACAAATGGTCGGATGCGAATACATACAAGTTGTGGTTAGGCTTAAACTTAAGAATGCTACGACAGAACTCCTCAACTACATTAATAAAACTTAACACACATGATGCATACAACTTAAATTCTCAAAACAATACAACTGAGGGAAATAAAAGTAAATATTCTACGTAAAAACATCATCTACAAATTTATGGCATTTTCGTAATACACTTATGTGCCATTCTTCGAACTAATTTTCAAGTTTTAGAATCTTACTTAAATACCTGATCCACACATGGACGTCGCCATTTCACTAGGGCACTTGGTAAAACGTGTAAGGATTAGAATTTTGTGCAATAATAATATAACAGTGATTATACTATACGCATATACTAAAAACAACTGAGGCACGAAAAACGCTCTGGCGACTGTAATAATTTATTTGCTCCCTGACAAATAACAAAACTGGACGAATTCAACTATATCAAAATCAGCGTAGTGCAAAGACCTATAATATATACTATCCTACCAGAAGTCATGAAACACAGGTAGTTATGAATAAAACATGTCTTTATTCCGAAAAAATATATATAGTGTTGGCCTTAATGACTGCTTCAATGCATCGTGGAAGACTGTCTACTAGTTTTTGGTAGAAAGCTGGTGGTATTGTGCTTCACTCCTTGCTTAAAGCTTTAGTAAACTCAATTATTGAACAGGGTCGTCTTGGCCTTGCCCTAATTCTGAGTTCTAGTCCATCCCAAGGATGTTCTATCGGGTTGAGGTCGGGCTCTGTGCTGGCCACTGCAGTGCTCCGATGTTATTCTCTTTAAACCACGCGTTCACAATCCTTGCTTTGTGGAGCGTTATCATGTTGGAAGGTGTAAGGGCCAGTACAATACAACTGTTACAATGTAGAACACACAGAATTGTTCGTAACATCAATGTGGGACTCTGCATTCATGGATCCATGCACTGCGACCAATGGACCTAATCCATATCATGAGATGCACTCCCAGACCATGATACAGCCACCTCCAAACTTCACTGTTGGGGCAACACACTCAGGTAATTAGCGTTCCCCGGGCATCCTCCATACACAAACAGTCTCATCAGACTAGAAGAGCGTGTAGAATGACTTGTCGCTTCACAGGACTGATTTCCTTTGATCAACTGTCCAGGTTCTTTGTGACTTGCCTCATGCCAGTCAATGGTGTGCATTTGTTTTTGTTATCAGAGTGTCGTGGAAATACTTATAGGATTGCCTGTGGCTGTTTGCATCTCCAAACACAGGTTTTCTAGGGTCTGACGGCGAAATGAGGTAACCAGCCTTCTCAAGGCGCATCGGCTCCTATCAGTCTGTGTTTTACGCCTATCTGGTCGTTCCTTGGGCTCGTCGTCACCTGTGGACTTCCATTTCTTCAAAACGTTGATAATTGTCAACCTGGGAATGTTTAATTGATGCGCAGTAGCACCTATAGACATATTCCCTAAATGACATCCAACTATCTTTCCCCTCTGAAACTCTCTTAGCTCTTTGCATGTACTCATCGTTCGGCATACGAGTTTCAAATGATGTTCAAGCGAACCACTGATCATTTCTATAGGCCAACTTATTTGCCTATTTCGTCGTCACGCGCATTTTCCTGCAATCAGAGGTGTGTCCCATGTCTTTTGGTAGGATGGTGTATGTAGTTATACTATACACAGATATCGAAAATGACCGAGGTAGGGAAAACGCTCTGACAGTTACTTTGTTCCATGACAAAACTTATATATTATTAAGGATGAAAAACAAACAAATTCATATACACCATAATCATCGCAGAGCAAAATAATAATAATAAAGACAATAATGTACGCATATATTCAAAATGACTGAAGTATGAAAAACGCTATAGCGACCCTGATCATTTTATTGCTCCACAACAAAAGCTGTATATTATTAAACACGAAAACCAAGCGAATTAAAAAGTACCAAAATCAGCGTGGAGCAAATATAACAAAAGCCAATAATATACGATTATATCTAAAATGACGATAGCGCGGAAAATACTATGACAATTCTGATATTTTCTTTGCTCCACACTAATTTTAGTGTCTTGAATTCACCTGGTTTTCGTTTGAGTGATATATAAGTTTTGTCATGAAGAAAAGTAACTGTCAGAGTCGCTAGAGCGTTTTCTGTACCTCAGTCGTTTTCGATATATGCTATATTGTAGATTTTTATTTTCTTTGCTTCATGCTGATTTTGGTGTTTTTCATGCACTTGATGTAAAATTTATTTGTTTGTAAAATCAGTAATGTGTGATTTTTACAGAGCCACATTTATCTCCTACAACCAAAACTTTCACTGCTGTAATTACATTTCATTTTATATGAAATGCCATAAAATATTTTGATTTTTTCGCTCATTTCTGCAGGTTCAACAATACAGAAAAATTTAATTGAATAAATATTTTCAGGTGGGGTCAACTAACTAGTTTTACGTGTAATAACAATCCATCCACGCTATACCCACACCCATTCCATACTTTTCAATTTCGCTGATACTGATATAGTAGCTCCAGGCAAATAATTTTTTTTATAATACATAAAGTTAAAGAAATAAAAGCAAAAATTATAAACATACATCTATCTTGATACTGGTTCTTAATGTAAATTTTCTTGTTTCATTATTATAACTCAAGGATCTTATCGAAAACACCAAGAAGTATCATTCAAAACTCAACATAATTTATCAGTCCACAGTGGCGTAGCAAGTGGGGGAAGGAGGGCTACCCCTCCCACTTTTCAATCTGTCCTAGAAAAATGCATTATGATTGGGAAAAAAAGTCCAAGGAAAAGCAGGAGAATGCATAACATTTAATCTATAATCTAGACTTCGACCGTAATGGATGCATTTATGGCGCACATTCCTTCACTTTAATTGCTTCCTACACCTCTGATTTGTTATAATATTGTTTTGATATAGCTCCTAATTATGAAAAATAACAGTTAGTCAAAAATATATGTGTCATGAAACCTAAGAGAGAGATTGAAAAACAAAATTCGACTTGAGGATTTTTATTGTGTGACATTGTTAGTTTAACAGAATTTGTAGTGCATACTGTAAAGATTTAGACGGCATTAAAGTTAGATAAAACGACCTTTATTCTGAAGATATAATAAAAAAAACACATTTTTTATTTCAGCCAATATTTTGCTATTGCGACTTCGTCAAAACTAGTAGTACAAGAACATAGAAGTACTTATGGCCAAGAGTTAGAGTTTGCTACCAAAGACAGACAGTTGTTTGAAAAAAGCTGTTGAATCTAGGAGAAGTACTATCCTGAACATAAAACGTTCACCCATGCCGCATAGGTTCATTACGTCAATCAGCTTACATTTACAGACCCAGGAAGATCTGTTCCTGTGTGGAGCACCCTAATCAGTTGATTGAACTTTGCCTCTGAGGATCAATCTTAGAACAAGTGAAGGAAAGATGATTGAGGGTTGTCGGAGTAAAACAGTACCTGTTGAGCTGAAACCATTTGGGGAAGTCTCTACAGGATTCCCAGTCTGTTGCCAGCCTTAAGACCACCAATGGCCAGCTGAAAAGGACTTGACGTGATACTGGCAGACAGCCTCCACCAGCCAGATCTGTTTCTCCAGCGGGAGAGACAGTGGGCACCTATGGGTAAGGATTGTGAACTATGGTATGGTGAGCCTTTACAAACCAAAAAGTACCCCATGACGTCGACCATGACAAATAACAACACCTGTAGTTGTATAGGACTGTAGGATAAGTTATGGCTCTCAGCACATTGCCTAACCAAACCACCCTGGACTAGGAACCCTGAATACAATTATCACTTTGAATTTATAATATTAATGGCATCTGAGCCAGGAATTGGCTGAGAACCCACAAGGGAGAGGCTTTGGTCAGCAACACATGTCTCTGTGAGCAACAACAACTAGATATCACTACCAGATGTTTAAGGGAATGTCGTTAGAAGACCTGGGTCATTTTAGATAGGTAAATGCCATGAATAGATGGACACAGGAACAGGCGGTCCAATACCTGATCCTGAGCTTGTAAACTCCAGTTGTTTATGTCATTGAACTCCTGGATGATGAGTAGCAATAGGAATGTGAGACAGTTATCTTCAAGTTGCATCACCGATTCAAACCAGTGGAGATTAGGCTGAGTTAAAGTTTACTGGCACTGAGAGACTGATTGCCTACATGTACAATCTACGCCAATTGATTGGGAAGCTCTACATGGCAATGAGATCCAAATATTTGGAGGAACACTCGTGGATAAATTTATTGGGGGGTCTTCCCAATGAAACCATGAGGCAATGGCTGGGTGCGAGGGACATCCTCGCCCTAACCAATGCAGCTTTCATAGGGACATGGGGTGAAGTGGTAACTTTCTAGAGGTCATTAGAAAGGAAAAATTCTGCAGGAACAATTGTTGTGACTACTGTTCTGGTGAATCAAACTTCTCATGTACCTTCAGCACATCAGACCCAGACAAAGGTTAAACATCCATTTACACATCCAGAAATTGCAATTCAATCTCACCAATTTCTGTTGAATGAGCAAGACTATCCAGGGCCAAACATGGGGAACATGCAACAGCAAGGTCTGTCCATAGGATACATTTGCCACATAGTCCACTCACTGGAGCCACACTGCAGCAAATGGTGTATCTGTTTTGCTTGTAGACTGGCGAGGAACAAGTAAAGGAACTGTCGATATTTTGCCAAGCAGAAAAGATGGAAGACCTATTTGTTCCAGCCAATGGTTCAGCAAATTCCAGACAACTCACACTGTCAGTACTTTGCCAAGCAGCAAGGTAAGCAAGGTTATCAGTAATGGCTGTTGGATCGCAAGTTCAAGATAATCAATAGCTAACAAGAAATGCTGTATAAAAAGAGTTTGGAGCTCAAACAGGCTTGGCCACCAGCTTTGGGGGGGGGGGAGACCTGTTTGCACAAAAGAGTTTAGTTGTCATTCTAGCCCAGTTATTACTAGATGGGGTTTGGAACATACCTGTGAGGTTACAAGAGCTAGATGTCAAGATTCTTGTTGATGCAATAGATGTGAGAACACTACTGGACCTTACAATATTTTGAGCCCTTCAGGTGAGACCAGAATTCTGGCCAGGGAATAGGAACTTCATTCTGGTGAATAGTGATATACTAGATGTTAGAGGAGAGGTTGATATCTGGCTATGTCTAGGAAATGCCACCCCCAGTATGAAGGTAGTTGTCTAGGGCCTCAGATCCATATTGGAATTTTTGGGATAGATGTTCTGGGAAGGTTGTCCATCAATTTTACCTGTACAACAGGTGAACTGGAGTTATAGGAAGAATAAATTAATGCCAGCCAAATTGAGCCCA